GGGGGGGGGGGGGGGGGGTGTAGGCCAAAAATTTCCGAATGACGAAAAAACTTTCCGAATATTTCATGGCATACGAAGCCACGAAGGTGTTTGCTATCTGGAAAATGAAGACGCAATTTACAAACAAAAATACGCATATTTTACGCACAGACACATTACAGAAGCATGCAGTGCAGTAGGAAGCTCGTTTTTATTGGACGGCTGAAAACGAGGGCCGACGGACCGAGGACATTTTCAAATTTAGAGTCTCTGAAATGCCATTTCTTGGACTCTGGGGAAGTTTTGACAGAATTCTAATGGTCAGAAAACAGTATTTTGAAGGTATATTATTTAAATGATAAAGGTGTGCATGATTTTGGAAAAAGAATGATTATTAGCAAATTATTGGGAGGGCTGCAGGCTGCCCCCCCCCGGTTGCTACGGCCCGGAGAAGTAATAAACCGAAAAAAAACACTTACCGATTTACGATTTGTTAATTTAATGTTTTCCATGTAAATGCAATAATTTCGTAAATCAGTTTATACTGACAATATATACAATTATATTATATTTTCTCTGTTTAACAACTGAAAGTCTAAAAATTTTGTTATACTACTATTGCCGTAATTTTCCGAATGGCCAACCTGATTTTCCGAATATGTTAATTCTAAAAAGTTGGGGGGTTAGCAACCCCCCCCCCCCCTTCAATACACCCCTCGCTACGACCCTGCAGTAGTCAGTCCAGTTTACCCCCCACCCTCGGTCGACTGAGCAGACGGCTAACACCTAACCAACCAAACGGGTGAGCATGGTGGACAAGGTGCTAAATGTCTTAATTGTGGTTATGCAATAACAAAGGTTACCAACTTGGTAATTAACCAGGTATCCAGCTGACGTCAGCATGTCACATGACCGTAGGTGGCGCAATGGGATTAGGTGACATCTATCATTCGAAGTCTGACGTCCACACGACAACAGCGTACGTTTAGAATTTTTCTGCACGCTTAGCTCAACGGCGCAGTATAATTAAAGCAAACCATTTAATTAAACAAACGCTTCTAACATAATAATAACGGCTCCACTTTGAGAAACATTTAATTAACTAGCGTTTCGTTCGATATTACACTGACTTGAATGGTCAAGTTTCTTCAATCCTTGATTTTCTTTTTTCTTCGTCGTCGTCGAGCAATCAAGTCTCAAACAATTTCTTTATTTGTTAACGAGTTTTACAATGGCATTTTTGTCCTTTTTGTATTTATCATACTCTGCACATTCTCGAAAGTTGACTTGGAGTTTTTTTTTCGTACAACGTCTCTGGCAATTTTTCGAATTTTATACGTTACGAAATGTATCGCATGCTCAGTGACCACGTACATTTATGGATAACATTTGTATTTGTGAGTAATACTTGTGTTTCATTGGCTTATCCCACCCACTCATATATCGATCACTCCACGCTTTCAGCCTTTCACGTTTTGCATTTGCGACGTTCACGATTTGTATTCCTTGTCTATTACGCCATAGCACGTATGTTGTCATTTTCAGGTCAATGTGAACGCCTGAGCAGGCGTCTTGTTTAGATCATTTTACAATTTAAAAAAAATTCTCCGTCTAAACAACGCCAAGCCAAGGGTATACCATCATGTTGCACAGTCAGTTAGGTAAACATGCATGCATTTAAATGTTTTGTACAATAATATTAATTGGCACAAACAAGTAAGAGCTACTAGATTTACCAATCTATCGCTAAATAACATCGGCCGGCAATCTTTTTGCTACAAAATATTCGAAACAAGTTACAATTTTTTTT